TATAAAGTGTAAAGTGTTCTGTGTTGCAGGAACTTGTGATAATTAATAAGTGAATGACAGCTTATTTAAAACCAGATGACACTTCATCATTGCATGTTGTCTTCAAAGAATGAAGGTTGCTTAATTGTCCATTTATGTTGTGCATGAACTTGGCTATGTGTTAACTGAATCCAGCATGTTTTATAACATTAAAAGCTGGGTGGTAGCAGTCTGCTGAACAAAAGAGATTTACAATATATAATAAAAGTACAACAAATAGTCAAATACATGTTATATTTTTTTTCCATTTACCACATATAAACCCATCACACTGCACATAATTACCAGTTAATGATAATACTGTTTACACACCAATAATTAAGCTTCTACACTGTTACACCCTTCAAGACATATAATTTTGTTTGCACATATGACATATGCAATTTCGTTTTAGCACAAAATTGAATTATAAAATACAGCTATATAAATCAATTATCAACTTCAGTTGAGGTAAATATTTGGTATGGATCTGAGAAAGTACTATTAACCAAAGCAAATTCAAGATTGACTACTATCAAAAACAAATAGTTACATCGAAACAACAGTTAACATCAATGACCAATTAAGTACAGTATTAACCAATGGCATTCAATCGTGTTAAGTATCATCTGGAATTGTATATCATAACAAGCAAGAACAATCTACTGATGACTTGGACACTATAGTAAAAATCAATATGTTTGCTGCTATTAAAAAAAAATTATTTGGTAATAAAAAAGGAATCCCTTCCTGACCTCACTAAACTTGATGCTTGGTTGAAGCACATCAGTCTCAACTTTTACACTGTGAACAAAACCACTGTCCCCTTGGTGTACGTTTCATTCCAATACATTTGAAGTGAAGTCATTTATGCAGTCATAGTAAAATATTTTCATTAAATATTATATTGCACTATAAATATTTCCCTCGCAAACTTTGTTGGCTTCATCTGTTGAAACTACCAGCAAATTATTATTATAAGATTCTATGCTTTTCGATTCTTCTTCAGAAGTTGCTTAACATATTTTTCCCTGTGATCTTGTAAGTAGGTCAATGTCATTTTCCTTCTCAAATTAGTTAGCTCTATTCCAAAAAGCTACCAGCCAAATCTTATGAATCCATTCCTTTTAGTTCTCAAGAACAAATCCATTAAATTGTTGTTGACCTCTGTGACCTCTAAAGTAGGTTGAGGTCATTTTCATTCGCAAACTTTGGCGAGCTCTATCCCAGGAAGTCACCAGCCAAATATTACAATTTTATGCCTAATATTTCTCCAGAAGTCGTTTGAATTTTTTGACATATTTGACCCCTGTGACCTTGAAAACAGGTCAAGGTAATTTTCATTCTCAAACTTTGTTGGGCTCCATCCCAGGAAGCCTTCAGCCAAATATGAAGATTCTATACTTTTTAGCTTTTCAGAAGAAGTCGTTTGAAGTTTTTGACATATTTGACCCCTGTGACTTTAAAAACAGGTCAAGGTCATTTTCGTTCTCAAACTTTGCAGGGCTCCTACCAACGAAGCTTTCAGCCAAATATCATGACTCTAGGCCTTTCCGTTCTTCAGAAGAAGTTGTTTAATGGAAAAGTTAACGGACGGACGACGCGCCACGGCATAAGCTCACTTGGCATTTGTGCCATATTTTTGAAATATTGGTTAATATTCCCTTTGGGGCCCCGCCCTGGNGATCGTCGAAATATATATGTTAGGTGTGGGTACTTAGATTTTGAATGACAGCCATTTCCGCTTGTGTTGTTTGTTAGGTAACGCCTTTATGAACTGAGAAGGTTTGGATTCTACATACATTTTTCCACCCCGTTGCCCCTTTGTTTTCCTCATGCTTCCCTTACATTTTGTGCAGAGGTTTCCATCGTTTCAATTGTATCACTAGTTTTCGAAGCTGTTTTGTCTGTAGTTATTTCACCATCTCCATCAACATCATTAATAGACAGGTTATTTTCAACTTCTTCGTCGATACTTTTTTGTTTTTCATTTGTCATATAAGCACTCGATTTATTGTTTGCTTTCATTTCCTTTTCTCCAGGCAT